GTCTGCGCGCGGCGAGCAAAGGACCATAGCTGACAATTCCTCACTCAGCACTGTTCTGCTTCGTGCACCTTCTCGGCGCCAAGCAGAACAGTCCAATCTGTCTCGCGAAGTACCAGCAGTTGTATCGTTTAGTAGACAACAGACGAGACCGGGGGAAGGTAGTCTGCTGTCGTCGCTGTGGGTGACAGACAGGTTGGGCCAGCGCGAGCAATGACGGGCAGAATGACACGTGTTGAGCGGTCGAGCAAGCAAGCTAGATATGGCGGAAGCCGTGGGCTGAGCCGATTTGTTGTCGTCCATCTTCTTCCTCTGTACGTGGTGCTCCTGCTTCATGCTTCGTTCGCGTGCGCCATAGCCAAAGCCAAGTCAGCAGGGCGTGCAGCTGGAAACACCGACGGATCGGGCGTTATCTGGCAGGCAGACTCTCGCTCATCGTCGTCATCGTCGCCTTTGTCGACTCACTTCAGCGAGGAAGGAGGAGGCCGCCATAGCCAGGGCGATGTCCGTAGCTCGCTATCGCCGTTCTACGCAACAGCTGCCGCTCCGCGTGCCAATTCCTCCGCGCAGAAGGAGCAACAGCAGGAACTTCGTCCGCTTCTTCCCGATGTCAACAGCCTTTTCTTGCTCGGCAATCCCGATGCCGCTTCCCACTTCAAGGAGTGGCTTGCTGGCCTGCCTTTCCCGTCTCCATCGCCGCCGCTCAGTACGCGGCATAGCCGCCAAGCACCTGTCGTCGTAATCGACGATCCTTCTCGAGACAGACCGTGCTGCGCCGGTGTCAACGACGACGAGGAGGAGGAGGGGGAAAGGCCATCGGAACGAGCGAGTGGTTTCCGCCTCAGTCCCCGCGCTGCGGTCCTGAAGCCCGACTCTAAGGCGGGGAGAAGCGCGACTAGTTCGCCGGGGGAGAGGATGATGAGTGAAGAAGGTTCTGGAAGGCGGCCAACTTCCAGACGCCTTACTTCTCAAAGCCAATCGAATCCGTCCAAAGGATCTAAGCAGGCAACAGCAGGAGTCTCACTCCGCAAGCGGACAGCTGGTGGGCGGCAACAAAATGCGGGCAGCCGGGGCAGGCTGTCGACCATCGTCGTAGACAAGAACGGCGATGGACATTACACCACGGTTCAGGCAGCAGTGAATTCCGTGCCGATGGGGAACTCTCGACGAATTACCATCCAGATCAAAAGTGGAGTCTACAGAGAGAAAATCCGTGTTGTGTCTGGCAAGAATTTCATTTCTTTCAAGTACGTACACGCACTTCACTCTCCCTGTACCTCCTTCGTCATCTCTGCTTCTTTTTTTTCCAACAATCTTTTCTTCTGTGACTGTCCATGCGATTGCATCGTCTGGTTCGTCCTTCACCCTCCCCGCTACCTCCTCCTCTGTCCTCTCTGTTTCTTCTTTTCGTCTTCTTAAAGAAAAATTCCATCTTTCACTCTCCCTCTACCTCCCTCTTCCTTCGTCCTCTCTGTTTCTTCGTTTCGTCTTCTTCATAAAAAAAAATTCCGTCTTTTTCATCTGATTGCGTCTAGGTTCCAACTCGGATCTGTATTTCAACAGTTCACGAGCGTACCAACGGAGATTGTCCTCTCTGCTTTTTGTCTTTAGAGCTTGTCCTCTCTCTGCCTTTTGGCTTTCGTCGGCTTGTGATTAGCTTCGATTGCTGTGGTCGTATAAAATGTAGGCATAACGCTATAATGCATTTGAGTTGCGTCATTACCGTCTTCCCCCGAGCAAAACGCAAGCTCATTATGGCTGCACCGGACTGGAAAGATGGCTTCTATACGTTCATTATCAGCGTGCTCTCTGTTCGGGGGAAGACTGTCGTCATATCGCCGGTTCGGCTGACCTGTGCAATGAACGCGGTCTGTGTTTGAGAGAAAGAGGGAGTCGTCTCGTCTTCGTTTCAGTCCTTATCAACTCGCGTTTTGCGTTTTTGTCCCTCTACATTGCCCCTCTCTTTCGTTTACGTTGTGAGCTCCGGGCATGCGTCGACAATGACCGTCCAGGTTCATTCGGGCGAGAACGGTAGCAGAAGAATAGACCGACCCCATATTTCGAGCGCGCACGGGTCCGTGCCATCCGTTCTGGAATCTTGTATCATATTGTCTGTGGCCACGTCGAAAAGAAAGTCGCAATCTAATCTATCCTTCTGCTACTCGCCGTACTCGGGCATGGCTTTTGCCGAAATGTGAAACTTTCAATAGTCTGTCACAGCCCCTCGTTTGTTGTCCTATTCTGAGTCTTCTCCCTCTCTGCCTACGACTCACGGAGCAGTTCCAGGAACCGCACACGTTTTTTTTTTTGTTTTTTTTTTAAAGCTATATTCTTCTCTCAATTTCACCTCACACTACCTACCTACCACGACTCCTAATTGTAGGCATACGGGGAACCCCGTAGCAGACAGATTTAAATAAATACGAGAATATCAATTAATCAATAAAATAGACATATTCTAATATTGTTGAATTATTAGACATATTCTACTGTTGAATTATTTCTTATTTACATCTTCATTATGTTATGATTATTACGTAAAAGTCCCGTTCGTAACTTACAAACACGTGTGGTATTGTCAGGTCCAGGCGCCTGGCTGGTTTACCGTATCTAGGCTAATCTAGCATATAGCTACAATATTATAAGATTGTGGTATGTTAAACCGCGATTTCGAAAACGTGAACTCCAAAGACCCAATATTAAATTCCCCCTAGGTGGGAGTTGTCTCAATGGTGTAGATTGAAATCTACGTTGTGCAGATGCATGCAGATGCATGCAGATACACGCAGATGCATAGACCCCTTCCGGATTACGGACGAGATTGTCAGTGCTTTCCTATTACTACCCGGTTCCCTTATGTATATATTGTAAAACAGACCTGCCCGGTAAACAGCAGGCAGAGAGGGAGAAGAGGACAACAAACGAGGGGCTGAGACAGTATTTCGGTACAACAAACGAGGGGCTGAGACAGTGTTTCGTCGGAGTTTCACGGACTCATGCACATGTTCGGGTGGTTCACTTCGGTTTGACTATTGACATGGGGCCTGGCTGCACTACGGTAGTCTCAAATGTGGAAAATGTGGCTGAATCAACGGCTAGAACATGGAAAGATACATCGGCATATTTTTTTGTCTTTTGTGCATGGCGAGAGTAGTGCAGCGAGGCCCATACTGAGTCTCGTGTCTTTCGCTTTGTCCATCGGAAACAATGTGGCCGTTATTGCTTGTCGATATTCCATCTGGTCCTGATTTTTCTTCTTTATTTTTTTACTCCTCATTTTGCTATGCGCCACGGTGTGTGAACCTATGGGCCTCGCTCCACTACACGGCATAGTAAATGTATCTGGGCGTGGAAAACGTTCCATTCATTCAACATGTGCGTTCAGTCCGAATGTATCTGGTGATTCCAGATACCTCGAATCTTGCGTAGTGGAGCGAGGCCCTTACTCGTCATTTGCAATTTCGCAAGATATGTTTTGCTCCTGCTTTGATAAAGGGTCTCGTCTTACGCACTCCGGTCAAGGTCCCACTAGCAAAGAGGATCGGATAGAAATCCTGAGCCTGGCCATGTTGGATGCACAAAAGCAGTTCGATCTCGATTTCCTGCTCCTGTCCTCGAACACGTCCAGATTCAGGCATTCAATCCGATGCTCTCTTGCTAATGGGACCACGGCCCAGGAAGCTAAGCCGAGTGATGCTCCCGGTGTCTTTTTGTTTCGGGTCGACTGTGAGGACCCCGGCGTCGCCTAGTCTTCCCCCGAATACAACGAATGGTCATTGTAGCTGAATTTGGGGTATCTTTCAGTCTAAATACACCTATAATGACCGTACGTTGTATTCGGGGGAAGAAGGTAGAGACCCTGGATCCGTTTTCCAGCTGGTGCAGCTCCCCACCCATGAAATGGAGTGATCCGCAACCTGGCCTTAGTTCTCGTCGCTGCTCTTATCACTACGCGAACGTAGAGCACTTTTGTGGATGTTTTTAAGAAAAAAAAAAAGAAAAAAGGTCTCGTTTTACTACTCTCGAAATGTGCAAAGCGAGAGTGAATCTCCCCGTAGAACATCGAAAGATACACGCCGTGATTTTTGTCTTTTGTGCATGTCAAGAGGCGTGGAGCGAGGCCCCAAGGAGCAATACACACCGCAGGATTCGGAACGTACGCCGTTACGCTCATTTTTTTCCGGTCGCTTTAAAATTTGCTGCATTCTTCAGATTTCTTCTCGCTGCCGTCTTGACCTGAAAACAACGAACCGTAATTATAGCTGTATTTGGAATATCTGTCAGTCTAAATACAGCAGTAATGACCGTAAAAAAAAAATTGTATTCGGGTGAAGAAGGTAGGCAGCTCTCTTTGTTCGAGCATCGTGTGCACTCTACCGTCTTCCCCCGAACACAACGCACCCTCATTTTGGCTGTTTCTGGCTGGAAATATAGCTTGTATACATTCATTTTTAGGGTGCGTTATTTTCGGGGGAAGACGGTAGTCGGGACGGTAGGTTATTCTCTTCCACACATGAGAGAAGGGCTTAGCTGGAGTACGCGGTTCGCTTTCTTTCCTACATGTATCTGACTGCAATTCCGGCCAGACGTGGATGAATCTGACCACAATCTGTCCAGGAGCTTAACAGAAGAAGTCGTAATGCGAGTATGCAAGGAAGAGAGAGAAGAGAGCTCAGGGCAATACGAAATATTATTTCTCTCTGTCGAATTGAGACAAAAATGTCAAAAAATAAAGAAGAAAACTCGGGAAGCCCCCGACGTTTCCTGTATACGGGATCTCGGCACACCACTGTCACCAAGTATGGAAACGAAAAAAGCGATAGGTGGCGTATCTTTCCACGTTCTAGAGGAAGGTACATTGTCCATTGTGCACATTTGGTGAGTACTGTGGCGAAGCGTCGACGTTTCACATGTTCAGAATTTCTATTTCTGTGTTTTTTGTTGTTTTTTTTGCTGTTTTTTTTTTTGTCTTCCCCCCTTCCCCCGCCCCCCCTGAATCCTGATATGCGTCTTTTTGCTCTTCTGGCTCTGCTGGGAGTTCTCTCTGCTCTCTGGTTTGGGCCTCGCTCCACCCCTCAACATTCTGCATGTATCTGGTGAGTACTGTGGCGGAGCCTCGACGTTTCATATGCCTCAGAATTTCTATTTCTGTTTTTGATTTGATTTTATTTTTCCGGATTTTTTTTTTTTTTTCCTGATATGCTTCTTGTGCTCTTCTGGCTCGGCTGGGAGTTCTCTCTCCTTTCTGATATGCTTCTTGGGCATCGCTCCACTCCGCAGCATTCTAATCAGTCCAGATACCCGTCGATTGTTGAGTAGTATAGCGAAGGCCCTTTGCCTCGTGTCACAGCCCTGGTCACCAGCGAGCGCTTACTGCCGAGCAGTGCCGACAGCAAGTTCTTCCACTTGCCGTAGCTCTTTGCTGTAGTCCCATTACGGTCTAATACACACACTAGCATGTTCGTTAAATGTATCTGACTGTAATTACGGCTGTGCCTGGACGAATCTGACCTTAATCGCGTCCTCGTGTGAGTTTGTCCGTAGTTTGAAGGAGATCAAAGAACCTTCCTCAATACAGTGCTAGAATACGACACAATAGTATCGTTCCCCGTCTTTGTACAGATTTTATACACGACTCAACAGTCGTCACGTATGTGGACTGTTTTACGCACCGGATACAATGACTGATCAAACATTTCGAATGTATTCGAACCGTTTCCTAATCCAGATGCATTTAGATTGTTGTGCAGTGGAGCGAAGCCGGAAGGGGGCCTAGCCACGCTACTCACCAAACGGGAAATTGGCAAATGCTCTCACAAGAAACGAGAGATTGGGGAATGCTTCTTAACACGAAACGAGAAATGTCGAGAAGCCGAGAGGGGCGTTCTGAAAGACTCGCGACGGTTTCTGCTTTCCCTTTTTTTTTTTTTTTTTAATTCATAAGTTAAACCGTTCGCAGCCGAATTCCCGCAGTTGCTTTTTTAAAAATATTTTTATTTATTTGTATTCTTTTCGCAGTTGCTTCTTCTTCTTCTTCTTCTTTTTTTTTTTTTTTTTTCCTGCTCTTCCACAAAAGCGAATCGGGAAAAAAAAAGCGAATCGGTCGTAAGCCTGTTGCAGTTCCTGGCTACGATTGTGTCCCATCTATCTGGCAGTTCCGAACGAGGCCAATCATGGACGTACGAAGACTACAACCATGGCTAGGTTCATGCAAAGTGGGCGAAATGAGAGCCCTTCCGAAGGAGGC